GCGAGTGGGTTACCGTTATCCAGAGCATCTGCGCCGCTGGGTATGCAACCCCGCCTTTCATCATCTACAAAGGACGCGTCCACATCTCTGCCTAGTATGAGGAGACAGATATACCCCACGATTAGAAGCTCTCAGTCTCTGAGAACAGTTAGACAAACAACGCGCTTAGCCTTAAGTAGTTGAAGCACTTTAACACGCATACAAAGACGCGTCAGGTGGGAGTGTACAGGCTGCTTATCTTAGACAGCTATAAGAGCCATCTCAACTAGGAGTTTAAGGACTATTGCCTAGAGAACTAAATCCTCACTCTCTGCATGCCACCTTACTTGTCGCACATCCTCTAGCTACTTAACATGGTCTGTTTCTTGCTGTTGAAGCGCAAGTACTCCTAACACGTTCAAGACTTGGCACGCTAACGCGTCTTCCACATTAACAAGGAAGGCTTCCTACTAGCCTTTAGGGATGCGTTCCTTAATGTGTTTACAAAGGTTAACTGCTAAAAGGCCTTTAAGGCATTAGGGCTTGTTCCTACTAATGCGCAGGTGGTGTTAGATCGCCTTGAAGTGCGGCTGCATACCCCACCAGCAGTACCTCTACCCGAAACGCCGTGGCAATCCAAGACGCTAAGCAATACACACGAGTTTGGGTCTCAATCTAAGCTTGTAAGCGACTCCTTCTGACAATCGCCAAGTGCAGCGCAAGAGGGGTTCTCAAAGCTTGTAAAAGGGGCTGAAGAGATGCTGCATGAAAACGTCCTTATTAAGGCCTGCGTGCGAGAGCTTGAAGAGCAATTAGCAGTAATAACTAAGAGAAAATCGCGTAAGAGAAAGCAGATTCAGCATGGTGGCACACTTGAGTATGGCCCAGCAGCATCGCGGGTAGCTGCTGAGGCGTGTGTAGCAGCTCAGCCATCTAAGAAGACTCAGGGTGGAGGTGGTCAACTAGGAGCTCAGTCAACTGTTTGGCGCTGTGGGAACTGCAGCAAAACTGGACACAACGCACGAACGTGCCAGGAGGGTGCAGAAACATCTTCTAAATCTGATGCAAGCATGCAGTATGCTAGGTCACTGTTTAATAGCAAGTAGTTGTAGTTGCAGTAACTTGTGTTAGTCGTGCCAAGAGAAAATGGCCGGTTCGGTGATATGGCCGGCTCGGTGATAATCTACGTTACCCTACCTATCCGCCAGCCTAACTACTGCCCACTCTTGCGCTAGATAATAATAAGTACTATTCTAGCTAGTAACTTACTATTAATATAAGTTATAATACCTTTTTAGCTTGCTTACTATAGTAGCTATAGCTGTAGTCTAATACTCTTTAGCTTCTATATATTCTATACTAGCTTTTCCTTTCTTTAGACCTTCTTTAGCAATAGAATAGAATCTCCTATAGCTTTTTTAATTTAAATTACTACTTTCTCTTCTTTTTTCCCTTCTCTTACTTCTTCTTTAATATAATACTTTAGTACTAATATTACTATATATACTTACCTCTTACTCTGCCTTTTCTTTACTCTTCTCTTCTTCTTCCTTCTCCTCCTCCTTAAGTACTGCCTCTACAACTACCTGAAAGCCTTTGCTTGCTCTTCTTCCTAATACTCTCCCTCCTACACAGCTAGCTCCAATCCAGCTTCCAAATGCCCTTGTGCGGCTGTAGCTGTTGCCGTTGCTGTTGCCGTTGCTGTTGCCGTTGCTGTTGCCGTTGTTGTTGCTGTTACTATTGCTGTGGCTGCTCCTACTGCTTCTCTCCTCCCTCCCCTCCCTGTACCCTGCCCGGCCAAGCACGGTTGTCGTACGGCACGCCTCGCTGCCTTCTATCTGCGCCTTGGCTCTGCCAGCCTCCCGCAACCCGTACAGCACAGGCACAACCACGTTAGCCCACAGGCACTCCCCTCCTTGCTTGCTCTCTATCTCCTTTCCCCTTCCCTTTTCACA